AAGCAGACTCCCTGCTGAGCAGGGAGCCCGATGTGGGACCCGATCCCGGGACTCCAGGATCATGACCTGAGCCGAAGGCAGTCGCTTAACCAACTGAGCCACCCAGGCGCCCCCAATATAAGAGACTCTTAATCATAGGAATCAAACAGGGTTGCTGCAGGGGAGGGGGGTGGAGGGATGGGGTTACTGGGTGATGGACATTAAGGAGGGCACTTAATGTTATGAGCACTGAGTATTATGTAAGACTGATGAATCACTGACCTCTACCTTTGAAATTAATAATATGTTATACGTTAATTAAATCAAACAACTAAATAAAAGAGATTCCATACTCATGGATAGGAAGACTTGATATTGTCAAGACGTCGGTTCTTCCCAACTTGATCTTTAAATTCACCTCAATCCCGGGGCGCCTGGTTGGTTTAGTTGTTAAGCGTCTGCTCTCGGCTCAGGTCATGATCCCAGGGTCTGGGATCCAGCCCCGCATCAGGCTCTCTGCTCCACGGGAAGCCTGCTTCTCTCCCACTCCCCCTGCTTGTGTTCCCTCTCTCGCTGTGTGTCTCTCTCTGTCAAATAAATAAATAAAATCTTTAAAAAAAAAATTCAACTCGGGCGCCTGGGTGGCTCAGTTGGTTGGGCGACTGCCTTCGGCTCAGGTCATGATCCTGGAGTCCTGGGATCGAGTCCCGCATCGGGCTCCCTGCTCAGCGGGGAGTCTGCTTCTCCCTCTGACCCGCTTCCCTCTCGTGCTCTCTATCTCTCATTCTCTCTCTCAAATAAATAAATCTTAAAAAAAAAAAAATTCAACTCAATCCCATTCAAAATCTCAGCAAGTTATTTTGTAGATATTGACAAAGTGATTCTAAAGTTTATATGAGGAGGCAAAAGAGCCAGTATAGCAAGTCTACCATAAGAACACAGAGTTAGAGGATTGATAGGGGTGCCTGGGTGGCTCAGTTGGTTAAGCGACTGCCTTCGGCTCAGGTCATGATCCTGGAGTCCCGGGATCGAGTCCCACATCGGGCTCCCTGCTCAGCAGGGAGTCTGCTTCTCCCTCTGACCCTCTCCCCTCTCATGCTCTCTATCTCATTCTCTCTCTCTCAAATAAATAATCTTTTAAAAAAAAGACTTATTATAAAGCTATAGTAATCAAGACAGTGTAGGGAGCCTGGGTGGCTCAGTCAGTTAAGCGTCTGCCTTTGGCTCAGGTCATGATCTCAGGGTCCTGGGATCGAGCCCCACGTCAGGCTCCCTGCTCAGCGGGTAGCCTGCTTCTCCCTTTCCTACCAGCTTGTGCTCGCTCATGCTCTATGTCACTCTCTCTCTCAAATAAATAAATAAAATGTAAAAAAAAAACCAAAAAAAACAAAGACAAAGACAGTGTATACCGTAGTGGTGAAAAAACAAGTAGATCAATAGAACAGAATAGAGAACCCAGAAATAGACCCCACATAAATACAGTCAACTGATTTTTGTCATAGAAGCAAAGGCCATATCATGGAGAAAAGGTAGTGTTTCAACAAATAGTGCTGGAACAAGTAGACATCGACATGGGGGAAAAAAAAGTGAAATGGGAAAGCTCTCTTGAAAGGCTACCGTGAAGGTCACCTATGACAAGAAGAAAAATTGCCCAGCAGGTTCTGTGGACTTCAGTATTCCTAAGTACCCATCTCCACAAGAGTGTCATATGAAGGGTACAGTAATTTATGTCAGTCACCTCAGTCCTGCCAATCCACTGGGTAGGATGTAGTGTCAGCACATTGGCCTCAGGAAGCTCTGCAGCCCTTTGACCTTGTGGATGATGTTTCCCATAATCCTCTGCTTGTCTCTGGCTGAAAACTAGGCTTCTCCTGCAGAAGCCAGGCCCAACTCTCATTTGATTAAGTGTCTATTAGACATAAAGCCTTTTCTTAAAAGAGGGAAAAAAGACTCTATTAAAGACACTGAGAGGAATGCCTGGATGGCTCAGTCAGTTAAGCATCTGTCTTCAGCTCAGGTCATGATCTCAGGGTCCTGGGATGAGCCCCGCATCTAGGAGTTGGCTTCTCCCTCTCCCTCTACCCCTCCCCCCACCTCATGCTCTCTCACAAATGAATTAAAAAAATCTTAAAAAAAAAAAAGACACAAGATACCCAGGAGTAACAAAAACATGTAACATGAAATTAAGCAAACTGGTTTACATGTGTTTATCTTCATTCCTTCATTTCCATGATTACGAGATCCAAAACACATTTCATAGATTTGAACTGACTCAAAGATCAGCCTTTCCTTTATATCAGTTCTCACAGATGATCAAAACCCCAATCCATAGACTCTAACTTAGGTTTAAGACTACCCACTATAAATTATTGGGAGGTTAGTCCATTTTGGAGTTCATAACCTAAAATAGAAACTCAGATGGTAGAAATGCCTAGTTTTCAGGAAGGATACTTTATTAGTGCATCATTTAGATTGTCTTACAGAAGTTTCATTTGCTGTATTTTCTTAATGGCTACAAATCTTGCTTTTATCAGTGTGGTGAGTTCAGCTTCAATATTAGTTGCTTGTAATCTGTTTAACCTTATACTGGATAGTTTCCCACAACCGTAACAAGAGCTTGGGCCTCTTATGTTCCAATAATTAAGACTTTAAGCCATGCATATACTGCAAGTCAAATATGAATCGTGCAAAGCCTATCGCTGAGAAACATGAGGACGCTTCTCTTCCAAAACGTTAATGAAGTTTTGGTTCTTTCTCCACTGAAAAGTGAGAACCTGTCAGCTAATGAGGAATGTGGGGTGTTTGGCCTCATCTAAAGGTGCTTCAGCAACGCCCCCCACCGAAGTTTGAGAGCCACTGACCTCCAGGAAGATCACCCTCCCTGGTTCCTGGATCCCCATGCTATGGCAGCGGCCATCTTCCCTCCAAATTCAGCGCATGATGTCAACAAGATAGTGAGCTGGTTAGCAACTGTCCACTCTCCAGCCATCTTGTTTTCTGAGGGTCTACCTTTTTCCCAGATGATCAAAACTGGGACCATCCCCCCCCGAGCCACCTCTGGCCACTGGCATGTAGCAGTGCTATCCAGCCACAGGACATTTCAGGACATACTGCAGAAAGGCCATCTGTACCCAAGGCTCACATCACACATTTAAAGTGAGGGCTCATGAGTTCAAGCTTGAAATCTGTTACCAGTGTCACGTTCTTTTCAGGAGCCAAGGGTACAATGACACAACAGTGCCCTGAACTAACAGAGAATGCAAACCCCTACAACATGCAATGCAGACAAGAAGGAATGTCATTCTGGGCCAGCGAGAAGGGAAAAAAACGGAAATAAACTGATAATCAATACTTGAGCCAAGTCAATGGCTATGAGCTTTCAAGTCAGGTGGACCTGGGCATGAACCCTCCAGGCTTTTCCACCAACCAGCTACGGACCTTGAGTCCTGAATGAAACCCTTCTGAGCCAGTTTCCTGCACACCAGCAATGTAACTTGTACCTTGCAGAATTGAGAAATGAGAAAAGACATAGTGCTAAGAAAAACAGACACTAAGACGTAGGCTGGGCACCAGTGTTCTGAAGCAAGTTCTGCCTGGGGCACCTGGGTGCCTCCGTCGGTTAAGCATCTGCCTTCAGCTCAGGTCATGATCCCAGGATCCTGGGAAGGAGCCCCATGTCCCGCTTCCTGCTCAGCAGGGAACCTGTTTCTCCCTCTTGCCCCTGCCCGTGCTCTCAAATAAAATCTTTAAAAATAAACAAAGTTCTGTCTCAACTGGCAGGAACTTTTTCGCATCAGGAAGACTGTCTGGGGCCAGGTTGGGAGGGAGGTAAAGGTAGGGGCAGGGCCCTGGGCAGGGCCAGTCACTGAAGCGAGGCCAAAGCCTGGAGGGAAGGAGCCAGTTCCTGGTGGCTGTTGGGCAGTTCAGACAGCTCGCGGTTACACCAGCCATGGCACTCCCTCTGCCCTGGCTCTCATGTTGCTGCCGTCGCCTCCTCCTGCCTTCCTGGCCCCTGGCCCCCCAGGGCTCCTGGAAGTGCTGCTCCCAGAGCACCAAGGCAAGCACAGAAGAGCAGACCAGCTCCACATGCAGTGGGAAGATAAGGTCATCCCCAAGGGTAAGTGGCACCAAGAGTGGGGGCAGACTGTAGGGGGGAAAGGGGGGGGGAGTAATCCCTTTAATCTTGTGTCACAGGCCTGCTCCAAGTAGATACCACCCCCACCCCCAGAGCTCTTGGCCTAGTTCCAACTCCTATATCCCCAGCACCTTCCCCACCCCCACCCCTCTCTAAACCTCAGGGCTCCCTCTCCCCACAGCCCTCCCTCCCTGCAGAGTCCATGAAGTCCTTGGACAGGAATTTCCCCCCACCTGTTAATTATTTCTTACTCGGGGGAGGGACAGCCAGTCCCCTCCTCTCCATATCCTCCCTTGTACAAGGAGTCCAGTTATAACCCCTGAGCAGCAAACTACCCCCCAGAAGCTTACGCCTAAGACCAGAAGCTACCCTGGCTTCACAGTACAGATGACCTTAATACAATGGGGTTTAAAGGTTTAAACTTGAGAGGCAGAACGCCTGACTTCCAGCAAGCCTCAGCCCCCTGCCTGGGCTGATGCTCCCTCCCCTCTGCCCCGCCCCCTCAGGGTCCCAGGCCCCGCCCCACAGCTGAGCTGGCCCAAGCCGAAGAGTTGCTGGAGCAGCAGCTGGAGCTGTACCAGGCCCTACTGGAAGGGCAAGAAGGGGCTTGGGAAGCCCAGGCCCTGGTGCTCAAGATCCAGAAGCTGAAGGAACAGATGAGGAGACACCGAGAGAGCCTAGGAGACGCCTAAGCTTTCCACCAGTTCCCACTTTACCTTCCAACACTGGAAACACTACATACACTCACACTGGGCCTTTGGGTCAGAAACATCCCAGCCCCTCCCAGGCCACTAAGAAAAATGGAAGTGGCAAGGAGCCATGGCCTCTGCATTCTCAGTCACATTGCCCTCCCCTCTGACCCCTCCCCATTGACCTGGGCCCCACAGAAGGGCACACAGTCCTTATAGGAATACACACTGAATCATGGCCTAACCTCACCCTAAATCCAATAAAGGGATGGAGCACTTACAGACACCACAGACGCATACGTTTTTTAGTTTTGTTAAAAAAAATTCAGACAATTCAGGAAATACAGGTTTAGGAGTGGTGGTGATGCAAAAGGGGGGAAGCCATGGGGTGGGGGTGGGGGTTGTCAGGGGTAGGTGGCAGTAGTGTCTCCTTCACCCCATGCCTGCTGTCATCTCCTGAAGAGGGACAGACCGTCACATTCCAAAATGGGTGGGTGAGTCCTCTACCGCGTCTGTTCAACTGGAGAGAAAACATGGCACAATTAGGACAAGACAGGGAAAAAGGCAGGGCTGACAGAACCACCACCCACCCCCATACATGCGGAGGTCTGTAGTTTGTGGGTGCAGAGGATAGGTTGGGGGTGGGGAAAGATAGTTTGTCAAGAGAAAGAGACCTACAGATCAACTAAGCATCCCAACAGGGGCATCAAGATCAGGGGGACACGAACTTGCCAAGTGCCTCTTATGCACCCGAGACTTTATGTACATGAGATTCAAGACAAACACACTAGGGAACAAGGAGACTCTGAAGAGTCGAGAAGCCAGTTTCCTGAGAGCCATACTCACTGTAGGAGGAAATGTCTATCTCATCGGGCAGCTCACTAATATTCACTTCAAAGCGATCCTGCACATCATTGAGGATCTTGGCATCATTTTCATCCGATACAAACGTGATGGCCAAGCCCTTGGTGCCAAACCGACCTGCTCGGGCCACCTGGAAGGAGACAGAGGGTAGCACTGGAAGACCCCAAAGTAGGAAGACACCCAAAGGAGGGATGAGAAACTCAGGTATGAAGACACAGAAAATCAGGGAGCGGGACAGTGGGATGCCCGTGTAGGTGTGGAGCTTACCCGATGCAGGTAGGTGTCGGAATCCTCAGGCATGTCATAGTTGAAGGCAATGTTTACCCGCTCAATATCCATGCCTCGGCCAAACAGGTTGGTAGCCACAAGAATTCGTCGTTGAAAATCTTTAAATTGCTGATACCGAGAAAGCCTTTGTGAAATCAGAAAAACGTTGAGTCCCTTCTCTCAATGGTCTCTTTTCCTTCCCAAGGACAAAAAACATCTTTCCATCTCTGACTCACCTCTCCTCCTGGGGCATCCCTCGGTGGATGGCAATGGCTGGGAAGTTCTGCTCCACCAGGAGCTGGGCCAAGGCAATGCAACGCTGCACAGACTTCACAAAGATCACCACCTGTGTGTGTAACAGGCGATGTGGGTACACATGGGATACGTGAGAGACTATGTGCGAAAAGAGTGTTCAGTAACTACACTCTTCCAAAGAAATTCCTCCTAATCTCCATCACATATTCCTCTTCTGTTCTAAATACAACTCAGCCTTTCTTACTCAGCTCTGGTTTTTCCTGAGCAGACCTGCTGCAGAGAAGGTACAGAGAATAGTAACCAAAACTACCAGGTATGTTAGGAGACAAGAAAGAGGCTAATGGTAAAAATGAGCAAGTGGTAAAAAGTAAAACTAAAGTCTGGAAACATCATGACTAGTATTTCCTGCTCATCAGAAACAAACATAAGCAACCTACCTTTAAGTTTTTGGTGCAAATAAACCACACAACAGGTTAGGTGATGGAACACTTCTTCTCGGTAAATAACTTGAGAAGAAACAAATTTAAGAACCTAACAAACCCAAGATATTTTGGAACTTTTCCAAGCTTATGAAATCCCCTCTTCTTTATTGAGCTTTTTCTTTACTAAACTCCTGGCTGTGACAGCCATGGAACAGAAAAGCAGCTCTCACCCTGTTAAATTCTCATTTAAAAGAATTTCACTTAAAAGGCAGTTTCTCCATTCTCGAGAAGCTCACATCACATAGGTCATGTCCTCAATAAAAAGGTACTTAACCAGGTTTCTGCTACAGTTGGAGACGTGCTCATCCCCCTACTGGACCTTGAACAACTGACCTGATTGAACTCAAGGACATCGAGAAGGTCAAAGAGCTTCCGGTTCTTCTCGTTGTCCTTCAGTTTCACGTAGTACTGCTGCAACCCATGCAGCGTCAGCTTCGTCTCATCATCCACGAAGATCTCCATTGGCTGGGGGGGGAGGGGGAGTAGGGGGTGGGGAACGGGAGGAGGGCAGAGTGGGGGGGTTAAACCTGGGGGGGTGGAGGAACTTATCTCCAATACACCCCATGGGGGGATGGGGAGAAGAGAAGACTGAAAACCCCACACCCCCAAAAATACCATTTTAATGTGGTCTCTTCCACGTTAGCTCTAATTTCCTTCCTATCAGATGAGTTTTAAGACTGCCCAACCTCAAACTGTCATGGGAAGGGAACTTTGCAAGGAGGAAAAGGAGCAGTGAGACCACCCAATGACAAGATGCCATTACCTCAAAGGAAGGTGGCAGAGGAAAGAAAACAATGGGTGATGCTCCCCAAAGGGAGAATGTGATCCAAACGCCTGGGAATTGGTGGGACACAGTGACTCAAGGTCAGAGTAACTCCACCAGAGCTGGTTGTAAAAACATAGGGGGAAAACAGGGATTGCTCCATTTGAGTCTTCTCTCAACTAAGATAATCAGGGGGCGCCTGGATGGCTCAGTGGGTTAACCGTCTGCCTTCAGCTCAGGTCATGATCTCAGGGTCCTTGGATCAAGCCCCACGTCAGGCTCCCTCCTCAGTGGGGAGTCTGCTTCTCCCTCCCCCTCTGCCCCACTACCTGCTTGTGCACTCTCTCTCAAATAAATCTTTAAAAAAATTTTTAAAAAACCCACTAAGAGAATCAGAGCCACATCAGGAGGGTGGATATCTGTTAAGATCAGAATGCTACAATGGATGGTCTCAAAAATGCCATAAAAGAGAAGTGAAAGTTACTCAAGATGAGTAACAACTTGCCCTCAGACCACAAGGGAATTGTTTAGATGGCACCCACTGGACTCTGAACTAAGAGTCAAACCAACTATAGTGTTATAGGGACGGTACCAATAAATGGTGTTAAGAAACAAAATTCAGAGCAGCAGATACACATTCATCTTAAAAAACACACACACACACGCATACACACAAAACCCTTGAAGGGGAGGAAGTAGCATAAAAAAATATAAATTGACACAAGACTCAACTCCTGAGTCCAAGTTTCCTAGCACTCTTCACTAACCTGGGGACGTAATTAATATGAACACCCAGGGTCCAAGATTTCAGGAGAGGATGTGTGGCACAGGAGAAAACCAGAAGCCCAATCCCAGAAAGCAGGCTAGCAAAGGCAGGTTTTTCAAAAAGAAGTTCCATGGCCTCCTTCAAATCTAATCCTAGCCCCAAGTATAGCTAAAAATAGTTAACACCCCATGGAAAAGAGCAGTACAGGATAGGGAAAGAATACACTGCACTGTTTATACAACAGGCCCCCTCTAGCCCCAAACCCTAACACCCACCTGGCTACATCCAAGTGGAGCTCCTCACTTTACCTTTCCCATATCCCTCTCCTTTGAGTATTAAAAAATTGTTTTAAAAAAGAAAAAAAAAAATCTACCCCCCCTTTCAGGACACCCCTCCCCCCAACACATATGGGGGGAAACGGGGAGCACGGCACGCCTTGGATTCAGGAAAAAAACCGGGAACGGAAAAAGAGGCTGGTTTGGTCCTCAGCTTCCTGGTCAGGTTTCCCCGCGGCCTCCGCTGCCGCCATCCACCGCTGGGTGCCGTCCGCATTTCCCCCGCCGCTCCACGGTGCTTCTCCGCTGCCGGCTCACATCAACCGAGATTCCAGATGGGTGCGAGGAGGTATGGACGGGAAGGAGCAAGGGATCGGGGACTGAGGTGCCAAAGGCCCCCACCCCTGGAGGTGGGGAGGGAGCGGATTGATTTGTGCTGTTTGCTCTTCTTTTGGACATGCCCTGCCATCTGTCTGTCCCTCTCTTGCTCTCCTGCCACCGGAAGGTTATGAGTTTTGGGGAGCAGAAGGCTCCAACTGTCTGCTCGATGCCACCTTGAGGGTGCGTGGCTGTAAAGGGGTATGTAGGAGACGATGGGTGGGTGATAGGGCAGAAAATTCTGCCCTCCCCCAAAAAGGAAGAAGAGGTTCAAAAATGCTGTGATGAGGGGGAAAAAAAAAAAGGTCGAACACTACCCGCTCTCAAGTTAACCCGACCAAGTCTTCCGGAGTTTCCCTGGCGCCCGCGCAGACCCTAACACTGTCTGTCTCTGCCTCTGTGTGTCTCTTCAAGGAGTCATCACTCCCAGACGGGCACGTGCCCGCTTCTTGGCACTTGAAGGACAAGGGAGTCTGGAGGAAGAGGGTGCGGAAGGGGAGGAGGCAGTGGGCAGGGAGTGGAGGGAGAGAAGGTAGAAGGGTATTTACGTCTTGCATGAACTTGCGGCAGACGGGACGGATCTCTTTGCTCAAGGTAGCACTGAACATCATGACCTGCTTCTCATGGGGGGTCATGCGAAAAATTTCCTGGACATCCCGACGCATGTCTACAAGAAAAAGGAAAAAAATCATAGGAGAAAAGCAGCATGTATCAGAAAAAAAAACGGAGACTGCCTCCCCAGCGAGGTGAAGACTGCTGGAAATGGGTAAGCAAGATTCATTTCCCAGAAAGATTGGTCTCAGGTACTCCATTCACTCGAACCACCATAAAATCACAGCCATTGCAGTAACACCATGGAAATAACACACAATGGAATTTGAAATAAAGACCTGAGATCAGGTTGACCCGATTCCACCACTGTGTTTTAACCAGGCAAGAAGATAATGAAACCTCAAATCTCACAATTATGATATGGAGATGAAACCCACTGGAGAGGCTCACAAGCCTAAAACCCTTGAGAAATGCTTTACAAGGCCCTTCTCCCTACTTTCTCCCCATGCCCCAGCTATCTACAAATACTGCACACCTAATTACATTCTAGCTGTCAGAGTCCATTCCACGCTTCCTCTGGATCACCTTCTATCCAGCCAGGCAAGTGAGATCTCTCTACCTCAAGCCCACCTTACAGCTCACTGTCTATAATAGCCAAAGGTCCTCTGAAATGACTTATCCCTGGGGCTATGTCCATCCCCACTCTCTCATTCATTAAATGTGAGTTCTTAGTTTTCCTTTCTTGTGGCATACTGGATTACAGAAAATCCCATAAACTCTCCACATTAATCCTGAGGTCTAAAAATCTATTCAGCTATAAATTCGGATATATGCTGTGCAGGGGATGCCAAAGAGTAAACAGTCTTCCTCCTTCAGTTTATTATCTCCCCAACACCAGCATAAAAAGCTATAAAGGAAAGAACAGTGGTGTAACTGATGTCTAAGATCAGCAAAGCCACTCCTCTCAAAGAAAAAGAAACCTCCATCACAGAAAGGAAAGACGAAACACCATTCCCCTTGATCACCAAGGTTGCTTAAAACGCCTGACAAAAACCAAGAGGGGAGCCAGAGCCATCAGTCATGGGTGATAGATTAAGAGTCGTCCTGGCACTGAAGTGCTCCTGTATCAAATAAGCATCATTTGGCTCTGAAGGGCAACTCCCAGATCACTAGCCCCATCCCAGCGCTGCCACTCACCGAGCTGTTCAAGCATCTTATCACATTCATCCAAGATAAAGTGTTTAATGTGTTTGAGATTGAGGCTCTTATTTCGAGCCAGGGCGAGGATGCGGCCAGGGGTCCCCACAACAATATGCGGGCAGTTCTTCTTCAGCACCTCTTCATCCTTCTTGATAGACAGACCACCAAAAAACACCGCGACCTGTATTAACCCAAGAGAAAACAGTGTCTCACATGCAAGGAAATAGTCCAATCTCCCCACAGTTCCCTTCCTTTCAATTTAATCTAAACCAATTCTTAGAACATTTCAAAGCTAGAAGGAACATCAAAGGTCACCCAATCTAAAATTCTTACTATGTTCCCCAAACACTGAAGCTAAGAAACAAAAGTGACTTGCCCCATGTGACTAATCAGGGCAGTCAGGACTAGCATTTTCCTCTGACTTAATCTAATAATCTTCCTTCCCCTGGTGCTATGCCCAGACTTCATTCTAAGAATGAGAACAGCAAGGGGCCCCTGGCTGGCTCAGTCAGTAGAGCACATGACTCTTGATTTCAGGGTTGTGAGTTTGAGCCCCACATTGGGTGTAAATTATAAATAAATAAACTTTAAAAAAAAAGGGTAACAAGAAATAGTAATCACCAGACTATAGAGTGCCACACAGCACTCATGGAATATCAAGTTTTCCTAACTAAACTCAGATCTTTTTTTTCTTTCTTTCTTTCTTCCTGCTTTCTCTCTCTCTTTTTTCAGTGTGGAGCCCAGTGCAGGGTGTGAACTCACGACACACAAATCAAGACCTGAACCAAGATCAAGACTCGGACGCTCAACTGACTGAACCACCCAGGTGCCTCTGAACTCAGATTTTTAAACGCCTTTTTACACAAACCCTATGAAATTACTGATTCAAGGTAAACATATTACTCCATATTCAAAACATTAGGGAAAGATTTGTTGTGGATGTGAGCCTTAATACAATATCAAATGATACCAGAAACTGCCTTCTAGTTTCAGAGAGAAAGATCAATCACAGGATCAGACTGTCAGAATAAACCTAAAATCACTAATTATGGGACAACCAAATTTGCAACAGAACAGGAGATACACAGCATATCAACTCAAGAATTCTTGCCAAAAATATTTAACTTCAATTAGTTGAGCTTTCAAATATTACTTCAGTTAAAGGAAATATGGAAAGAAAAGAACTTAAACAACACTGTAAGGGAGTAAAACCAGACAAATCCAGACGTAGGATATTCTGTAGAACTAGCCCAACCTCAAACAAGTCACTATAGCACAATTTTAAACAAAAGAAAATGCCACGACAATTTATATTTGATCTTAACACCAAGAATATTCTTTTTTTAAGATTTTATTTATTTATCTGAGAGAGGAAGAATGAGAGACAGAGCACGAGATGGAAGAGGGTCAGAGGGAGCAGCAGACTCCCTGCTGAGCAGGGAGCCCGATGTGGGACTCAATCCCGGGACTCCAGGATCATGACCCGAGCCGAAGGCAGTCGCTTAACCAACTGAGCCACCCAGGTGCCCGAATATTCCGTTTTGAGGCACAGTTGAAAGAGCATGCAACTCTTGATCTCCGGGTTGTGAGTTTGAGCCCCACCCTGGGTGTGGAGATTACAAAAAAAAATAAACTTAAAAAAAAATTCTCTTTGGGGCGCCTGGGTGGCTCAGTCATTCAGCATCTGCCTTCAGCTCAGGTCGTGATCCCAGATGGGATCGAGCCCCGCATCGGGCTCCCTGCTCCGCGGGAAGCCTGCTTCTCCCTTTCCCACTCCCCCTGCTTGTATTCTCTCTTTTGCGGTCTCTCTTGCTAATAAATAAAATCTTTAAAAAAAAAAGAAAACCACCCTCTTTTAAGCAGCATAAACTGGTAAGTTGGACCCAGAGAGGAGGAAATGCAATCCTCGCTCACTAATGAGCCAGCAATAAATGTTTCAACAGTTTTAACAACGGAAACTGTCTTCTGGTTTTCAACTTTTTAGTATCAACCAGCAGCAAGACCACCTGGTGGAAAGACAATGATACTGACAATGTAAGAAGATAGATATGCATAATACAGACACAGCATTTAAATTATTTTTAAAAAACTAAAATTAATTTTCACATAACAAAAGAATAATGTAAACCATCTGATCTTTCATGAAAAGAAGTAAAAAAACACCCGGAATTTGATAAAATAAGAGAACAGTGCCTAATACTTGGTGTCACAGAACCATTAGGGAAAAAGGAAAAAAAAGTTAACTAATGATTAACTTCTGTGAGGTGCGATTAGAGATAGGAGAACAAAAATCTTTTCATTATGAGGCCTTTTAAATTACTCCAGCATGTTTACCCCACTCAGATACTGCTATTCCCACTTTGGTTTTTAAGACTACTTTTTTTTTCCTAATTAACACGTATTATTTGTTTCAGGGGTACAGGTCTGTGATTCATCAGTGAAGACTACTTTTAGGGGGCACCTGGATGGCTCAGTTGATTAGGCATCTGCCTTCGGCCCAGGTCACGATCCCGGAGTCCTGGGATCTAGCCCCACATAGGGCTCCTTGCTCGGTGGGGAGCCTGCTTCTCCCTCTCGCACTCGCCCTGCTTGTACTTTCTCGCTTGTTCTAATAAATAAATAAAATCACTAAAAAAAAAAGGACTACTTTTAGTTTAAGACTACTTTAGTTTAGGGGCGCCTGGGTGGCTCAGTCATTAAGTGTCTGCCTTCGGCTCGGGTCCTGGGCTCCCTGCTCAGCGGGAAGCCTGCTTCTCCCTCTCCCACTCCCCCTGCTTGTGTTTCCTCTCTTGCTGTGTCTGTCAAATAAATAAATAAAATCTTAAAAAAAAAAAAAAAAGGGACTACTTTAGTTTAGCTCAGTTAAGCATCTGACCTCCACTCAGGTTGGGATTGAGCCCCACATGGGGGCTCCCTCTGCCCACCCCCCACCCCCCAGCTCATGCGTGCTCACTCTCTCAAATAAATACAATCTCTTAAAAAAAAAAAAGTGACTATTTTTAGATTAGGGCTAGAACTCAACACATAAAGTAATGAGTAACAGGAGAAAATAGCAACAATCCAAACAAAAGTACTGTTCTTCACCACATCCTAGCCAGGAGTGTAGGAAGTTATACATATTAGTTCTTCTCAAACTCCAATTACCTGGAGATCTTGTTAGAATGCATATTCACACTCAGTAGGTCTGGGGTGGTACCCACATAATCTGCATTTCCATCAAGCTTCCAAATGATGCTGTAACTATGGGTTTGGGAACCATACTATGAAAATCAAGGTTATATATGGAAAACAGCCCAAGCCTATTCTGTTGTCACCCCCAAACATCTTTTGATTTTCTGCCATTTTAAAGAATCCTCAAAAATCACATACCACGCTAGAGGTATTTTGGAGCTCCCAGCCTTCTCTTGCCACACACCCTAAAATTCTCAAACTGTCAACCACAGCACACTGAAATCATTCAAAGTCAATATAAATAAGTAGTTAACAAAAGTGTGGTATTGTGATAGGCTTCCTCCATAGACCATTCATGCAGTCTCCTACTGCACAGCTATATTAACACGAGATAAACTAACGCTTCTCCAAGATCAGAATATAAGCAAACATCTCATAAATTACAATGTGTATTCAAGTGATCCCTACAACATAAATCTCTTGCACACCAAAGTTTGCAGAAACTTACTAGCTATTACATGTAATTTAACAACTGTGGACATGAAGACTGCTGGTCTCCAAGTCTTTAACGCCTTCAACACCCCACACCCTCACCCTCCCAGGTCTCTTTACCCTGGCTTACCTTGACATTGGGCATGTATTTAGAGAAGCGCTCATACTCCTTGCTGATCTGAAAAGCCAACTCCCGAGTGTGACACATCACCAGCACAGACACCTTGGGGGGGGTGGGGGAAGTAGATGGAGACAAACAGTTTATCCCTTCACTATGCCCTTTAGGGAAGCAAACTATCACAAAAGCACAACTGGCAGATCATAAATGACTTCAATTCTGAAATCTAAACCGTTAACCCCATGATTACTATGTAATATCCCCCATAGCCATCAAAGGTGAGAGGCCATCTTAGTAACAAACACTCATGGCTCTGAATGCATCACATGGCTAAGACAAGACACCCTTCTCGAATATTTCTAACCAAAATGTCTTCCACAGCACTCTCCCCCAGTGTACCTGTCCAGTAACTGGCTCCAGTTGTTGCAGTGTGGCCAGCACAAACACTGCTGTCTTCCCCATGCCTGACTTGGCCTGGCATAGGACGTCCATTCCCAGAATGGCCTGAGGGATGCACTCATGCTGGACTAGAAGGGGGGGGAAAAGATAAATTAGATTTCAGTCTCCAGATAAACTCCACCTTTTTTCCACCATGCCAAACCCATTTCTCACCGTCCAATTCTTAAATGATTATCAACTCCCAGACTCTTTCTACCTCTCTTCTCCCCCAAACTCATCCCCAAAACAGACCTTCCTAGTTCCTTCTCACTTTAGCCTCCAACTCCAGTGCCCCCTCATCCATCCTGCTAAAAACCCTCCTGCACCTACCAACAGCTCATCTTTAATGTTTCTGACTGTCCCTATTTTCCTTTATCTGTAACAATCCATGACATGTGAGTGCCTGCCTCAGGCCATTTCTCCAACTTAGCTTGCCACGCTTTAGGCCACATAACCCTGCAACTCTGAAGGGCTTGGTAGCTGACCCAGAAGCCACCCACTTTAGATCAGCCATAAAGGTTTCCAGAGACCAGAGTTGGCCAACAGAGAGGGACTAAAGGTCCAACTAGCTCCTCTCTGGAAATTCAAAATTAGAAACCTAAATGACAAAATTAAAAACAAGTAGACAAAAAGAAAAACCAATCACAAGAACAAATGGCAGACCTCTAAGTCACTTTTTTTTTTAAAAGACTTTATTTATTTGACAGAGAGAGCACAAGTAGGCAGAGCAGCAGGCAGAGGGATAGGGAGAAGCAAGTTCCCTGCTGAGCAGGGAGCCCGATGTGGGGCTCAATCCCAGGACCCTGGGATCATGACCTGAGCCAAAGGCAGTCACTTAACCAACTGAGCCATCCAGGCGCCCTTCTAAGTCACTTTTCAAGTCACTAGCTTCTCATGTTATCATGTGTGAAAAACCCATCTATATAAATCTTTCCTACTACTAAAATAGTTTTTGACCCTTTATCTCCTGATCTAGCCCAAATAAGTATGTATGACCTGAGAGACTGTTTAACACACCTGTTTCTTGTATCCTTAGAGAGCTTTATGAATACTCTATGCCGGGCAGAAATTTACCTTCTGATGGATGCTCAAAGCCACAGTCAACAATGGCCCGGAGCAACTCTGGCTTCAGCAGGAAGTCACGAAAGCCAGAGCTGTGGATGGAGACATAGGAGCCCTTGACATCCTTCTTGGCAGGGGCCTCAGCCCCATCTCCCCCAGCTGCTGTCTCCACCTCATCTTCTTCATAGTCCAAGAGCTCATTGTCCACATCATTCTCTGCCATAACTGGGCCGGCAGGGGGAGAAGGGGAGGGGTCTCCGGATGGTTTCACGCAGAATAAGTGAAAACAAGGAAGAATGGGGGCTTGAACAACAGTTTAAAAAAAAAACACACACACCCTAGTTTGTGATAGAAGAGCTAGGAAAAAAACAGATGGAAGACTTATTAGTCACGAGCAGAGCCTTCACCACCTCTTTTCCATCCCCATACACTTCCCACTTTCCCTAAACTGTGACACCTTTACCTGAAAAAAAAAAAAAAAAACTAATAGGAACACAAAACATAAAAGCAAGAACAAACATAACACAATGGTCCCAGGTGAAGTGGTTAAGACAAATTCCCAACAAGATTAGGATCAGAGTAGCATAAACCAGGAAGTAGGAAGGGGAGAACCAGCATATGAATTCCTGATGTGTAAGTAACAATAAAGAAGAAAACAAAAAATGAAAAGCAAAATATGACAAGGGAGTAGAGAATGGAGATGACAAGATGAATCCTGAAAATCCTCAAAGGAACTCTGTGCTTTCCCTATAATCTCCCTAAAAAAAACAGCCATCAGTCAAGGGTGATAGATTAAGGTCATCATTGCGCAAAGCGCTCACTTCTCAAAATAAAAACATCATGTGGCTGCCATCCACCTCCCACTCCTCAGTAACCTCCTTCTGGTGCTTAAGAATTCCCTGTGTAATTGATTGGGGGGGGGAAGTGTAAGAGGAATGGCTCGGTCAGAAGTATTCATCTCTTCCCCATACAATGAGAAAGAAAATAATACACTCGCTACAGCTTTAACAGAAACTTTAGCAAAGGGTCTCACGTCACCCTTGTGTTACTCCTCACGTGAGACTCCCTTCCGATAATCACACAATGACACCATGCATAAACATTTGGGAAATATCCCAAATAAAGGTTGGTTAAGTCCAGATGAGAAAAGTCCAGCGGGGCCCAGAAGCCGGACCCTCCTTCTATTCCCACCTTGGGCCATGAAGAGGCCCCAGAGAGGAGAGGGAAGGTGAAAAGAGCCCCGCCCTCCGCAAATGCCCAGGACCAAAGGACACCTAGCGCCGCCTCTCACCATCGCTAGGGCCTCCGATAAACGAGAAGCGCAGCGAAGGAGCAGGGAGCAAAAGGAACACAATGGCGCTGGGGCCACCATCTTGGATCGGGCCCCCTAGCATCCCTACCTCTACCCCCCGAAACTCTTAAGAGCTCTGAAAAGGAATGCAAGCAATAGAAATAATGACCCAACTAGGCCCCAGGGGCCCGACAATAGCCTGTGGAAGCGGTATCAGGAGTCCGTGAGACAGGATGACCGCAAAGAAATGCAGATGGAGGCGGATGATACCAAGGCCAAAGCTTACCTGAGCAAGGCGAGCGCATATGGCGGCGGCAACAGCGACGAAGGAGAGAATCTGCCTTCACTTCCGGTTCTCGGCTTCCCTCTTACCCGGGACTCCCGCCTTCTCGCCTGCCAGCGCGCAGGCGCAAGAGACCGGAAGAAGATCCTTCAGATTCAATAGTTCCGTGCGTGCTGGGGTTGCCTTTAAAAAATGCCTGTGTGAAAAAAAATTTTTTAAGCCACTTCTAACTCCTCCGCTACTCCAAGTAATAAAAGAGATAAAGGAAACTAGCATCATCTCCCACTGTTACCTTTTTTCTATTGTCCTCGTCTACTCCACGTCCCTCACCTCTTCGCTTAGTTTCTTGCCGGGCAGGTCTTCTCTCTGGGCACCCCTTCGTAGGCGCCCCTCTCTGTGGAACAGGATGGAGGGGGCTGAGAGTTCCCACGGGGTCCTTGGCCGGGTAGTCAAGGTGACCCGGGGGCGTCAGGAGCTAGTCTGACCCCAGCTGAGGGGAAGGAATGATCCTCAGCCGTGCTCACGGGTCCTCCCTCTACCCTTTCCCCAGTGGTGGAGACGGTGGGCGGCATTTGCCTAAAATAATGTGGGCCGATGTAGTTGATGCCCCAAGGACCCCGAGGCTGATGGGCAGGAAATTCGAGGCAGGAATGTGTTCAGAATCCACTGAGTGGGGGACTGGTTGGTCTAGATTCTGCCTCAAGTGTTAAAGGTATATGGTGGGGCTTGAGGGTTACACAACATCCCATAAGTATTGTTAATTCGAGCAGAATGTCCTTAGCCCCGCTTCCAGCAGCCCCATTGTTCAGCTTGAATTTTTTCTGAATGAAAACTTTGACACCCCAGTCTTTGATAGGCCTCAGAAGTCAGACGTGATGTCAACAAAAATGATAGCAAACGTTTGGCTCTTTACCTGTTATCACAGTTAACCATTTGACACTAAGGAATAGATACCATTCCCATTCTATACCAAGCAAACAAGGCAACATGTCCAAAGTAACAAAGCTGGTAAGGTGACAGAGCCAGGATACAAATACATTTTGTTCTCTATTGGATCCGCCTCCCTGCTTAAAGAGTCTGATTAATAATTACACTGTGGATTACCTCATTGGTTCAAGTCTTTGGCTTGGTGAAGCAGGCATTGTTTTCTGTGGCCAAGAGAAATAACAGTGACCCAAGGATGGTGTCATAGAACGGCAGTTTTTCCGACTCTAAGTATCCCAAGTTTTGGGGCACCGGAGTGGCTCATTCTGTTAAGCGTCTGCCTTCGGCTCATGTCATGATCTCCAGGTCCTGGGATCAAGCCCCACATCAGGCTCCCTGCTCAGCGAGGAGCCTCTTCTCCCTCTCCCTTTGCCCCTCCCCCACCATGTTCTCTCTGCTCTCTCTCACAAATAAATAAATACTCTTGAAAAGAACAAGAAGGGCGCCTGGGTGGCTCAGTTGGTTGGGCGACTGCCTTCGGCTCAGGTCATGATCCTGGAGTCCTGGGATCGAGTCCCGCATCGGGCTTCCTGCTCAGCGGGGAGTCTGCTTCTCCCTCTGACCCTCTTCCCTCTCGTGCTGTCTCTCACTCTCTCTCTCAAATAAATAAATAAAATCTTAAAAAAAGAAAAAAGAAAAGAACAAGAAAGCAAGATAAGGAACAAAAAGTTCTTGTTCCTACACTGCAGCTTTTCTCTATAGTTTCCATCTATAGTTCTCAGGTTCCCAAGGAGTAACCCCACATTTGTTTCTCACTTTAGAGAAATAACACACTAGTTCCTTTTGTTTTTCCAACAAGTTTCAAAGAACAGCCCTTGGGGTGTTTGGGGAATATGTAAATAAGAAACAAGAGAGTGACTGAAAATGAGAAATGATGAAGGAAGCTGCTTCCACACACCAGTTGATTTGCCCACAGTTTTTTTTTATTGAAACTTTTTCATTGTTACAAGGGAAAGGTGTTCAAGATGTAGAAAGGAAGGCCATGCATACAAGGGAACATAGCATCACTTTAGATCTCAGGAAGCAGTGAGCATCTCATGGGTCTTCAGGGAAATCAGAAAAGGGGGAATCCAATAAACGGAAAGACAAACTTAGACACAAAAAGAAAGACTAAGAAATTCAACATCTTCCTGGAATCACAGTAGAGAGGCTAAACGAGGTCTTCATTACTTTTCAGGGATCATAAAGCTCTGGGGAAAGAGAGGTGGGAAGAACTAATTCTTCTGAGAATTACTAGGTTCACAGAATGAATGAGTAGAATTAGAGAACCGTTGACAAATGTGAGGAAACAGCTGTGTTTAGGTTTTGGCAGGTGGGCAGGGAGTGGTAATAATACCATAGAGCTACCATTTATTGAATCACAGCTACTAGATGCCAGAAACCACGCCAGGCTCTTTACAGAGTGATTCCTAATCATTGCAGCAACCCTATAAGGTAGGTATCATCATCATCATCATCATTTTAGTCCTGTAGAGGAGGACACTGGACTAGGGGTCAAGTAGCTTGTCCTGTCCCAGCAAGTGGCAGGGTTGGGAAAGGGACTTCAGCCTGCCAGGCTCTGAAGCCAAAGTGTTTTTCACATTCCTACTTCTCCATGCTACAAATTTCAAAGAGGGGTCGCGTGACAGTGACTTGGGAGTTTACAAGGTCCCAGTGAAGGTTAAAGAACAATAAGGAGATTCAGATCTGAGCAGGAGAACTTCTAAATTTCAGAGAATTATTGGATCTTGCCCCTAGAATTTCCAGGGAATGGAGAGCAAGTGGAAAGAAGCAGTGAAGATGGTGGGAGGTAATTTTGCTTGGGGGATTTCTTTGAGGAAGGGAACTGGAAGGGAACAGTTAGGCCCTACGGTGGATCCTAGACAGCAATCCGGTAGTTGGGGTGGACCTGGGGCCTGACGTCGCAGACCATGCCAAGAAGTTGGGCCAGGACGCGTTCTCGGTTTCTCTGCTGGGAGCTCTGCATGCCCTGCACCTGGCGTCTTGTAGCCTGTTCCACCTCAGCCGACAAGTTCCCCTGGGAGCCCATGGCCTGGGGGGATTGGGAAAGGGATGGAAGAGAGAAAGTCAAAAGCAGAAACAAAGAAGGGTCCGGGCAGGTGGAGAGAAAGATCCTGGAGCAAGGCCAGGAAGAAAAGCCCTTGCCAAAACCACCCCCATCCCATGGAAATATCCAGACACCAAAGAAAGCAACACAATTCCCTTTCCTTTGAGACTTGACATGCAACTTCATCCTAAAACAGACTGTAAAATCCCCACTACCTCACTAAACCTGATCATAAAACTCTGCCTTCCACCCCAAATGACATCATACTCCACGTAGACGGTGGCAATTCCCCCCACAAGCTGTACAAGTCTTTCAAAACTCTCAGATTCTCTTCCTTACCACACATCTTTATCAATAACGTGGTCCCTCCTAAGGGCCCCCTTCAGCCCTTTACCACCTTATCTTCTTGTAGAGTCACACTGTCCACACCTTATCAGATACACCCACCACCTTGCACCCTGGGGTCCCATCTCAACTCTCCCACTACTCACCGCCTGCTGCTTGCTCTGGAATTCCTGCTCTCGCTCTCTACGGTACTGCTCCACCTCCATCTGTGCCTCCTCCTTTGCCTGCTTCAGACGCCGGGCCTTCCCTGGAAGCAGAAGAAAGGACAAGGTTGGGGGTAGACCCCCTCACAAAATGTGATAGTAGTGGTCATTCCTTTCCAGAAAGTTTTTCTGCCTTCTCTCAGCCAACCAGGTGCTAGATTCTAACACCCACCCATTTCTTCCCTCCTAATCAGCCATCCCAGCCCCAGCTTTCTCCCCACCAGCCTTGGATTTTCCCAGGGACTCGAATGTTTGCTGTCCCCCCACCCCAATTTTCTTTCCAGACTCCTAAGGGAGAGAAGAGGAGACTCACTCTTTCTGGCATCTGCCACCTTCTCAGCCGCCCGTTTCTCGGCTTGCAGGAGCTGCTGAATACCCTGCGACTGACTGGCCATTTCTGTCGTTATGGCTGATGCTCTTTCAGACGCTACCAAGGTACCAGATGGCTCCCCCCACCCCACCCCAACACACACACACACACACATACACCGCCTACTTCTCCTCTTCCACCAGCTCCTTGCTGCAATCCTCCACCAACCCTGGGTCTTAGTGCTCCCCTTTTCCGCTCAGCCTCCTGCACCAGGTGTCTCCCCCAAACTGATCCTCCCATTGACGGCTTGTCTCTTCTCCCACGTCTACACTGGCAGTACCCAGAAGGACCACATGGGAGCAGCAGAGACCATACCCAAAGCTGCCTGCTACCGTCACAGCAGGTGCAGGGTTTTCCCGGTCGGAACGTCCAGGAGTGGGGGTAGGGGCAAAGAGGAGTGAGAAGGAGGCATAGAGGGGTTGAAAATGGGCTGAAAAGGTAAGGAAGTCAACATGTGTCGTGTATTGGGAAAAGAGGATGCTGGGTTTCCCCAAATTCTTCCCACTTCTCTTCCCCCTTTTTTTTTTCTCCCTCCCGTTTCCATCTCCCTCTTTTTATCTTTCCCAAGTCTAAATTTCTGCATCCATTTCATTTGCCTTCTCCTATAGTTGTTTCTTTATGTCTTTCACACAGGTCTTTTTTGATCTGGCCCTGTTCTTTTTTTTTTAAGATTTTATTTATTTGAGAGAGAGAGAGACACAGCGAGAGAGGAATACAAGCAGAGGGAGTGAGAGAGGGAGAAGCAGGCTTCCCGCGGGGCGGGGAGCCTGATGCGGGGCTCGATCCCAAGACTCTGGGATCACGACCTGAGCCAAAGGCAGACTAACGACTGAGCCACCCAAGCGCCCCGATCTGGCCCTGTACTTGACCTCGTTGTGGTTCTAGTTTTGGTTTTTCATTTTCACCATGATTTTTAATCCTCTTTATCTCCCCTGTTTTCCCTCTCTTCTCATTTTCTATCTCTGAACCATCTCCTCTCTCTTCCCGTTTGGGGGAGGAGAGGATAAATCTCTAAATCGCCGTTTTTACCCTCCCCTGCTCGGCTCCTTTTCCTCGTTTACCGTCCAGTCTTCCGCTTTCAGGCGGACCCTTTATCCTAAGTTCCCAAGTTCCCCACCGAGGCCAGACTGAGGAAACACACACACCCCGTCCCCTCGGAGAGAGACGACATCCGGTAACGCGCTCATTTCCGCCCTTTACCTGCGTCTCGGCTTGCGCCATTTCCGCCAGCCTAGAGTGTCTCCGCCCTTCCCGCCTCCCTTCCTCGAGCGTCTTAAACACAGGCCTCGGTCCTACGGCTCCGGGGGTACTTAGGGGGGCGGGGGGCAGGTCTGATGAGTAACCCCTCCCCCCAGGTCCCAGAGGGAGAAGCCTCCACATCTGTCTGCCGGGTACATCATATTCCGTTTCTAGATCATTACTTGAAATTATCTGTGACTTAAATTCAGATTTCTGTTGATAAAAATTTTCCCCATCATTCTTTGTCTTTTTCAAAGTTTCTTATTAACAATTATCTGGGCTAATGAGCCTCAAAGCAATTATTTATCCTTTAATCAAATTTTACATTAAGAAATCTGTGACCCAAGCCCCCTTCAAAAATTTTTTCAAACCTAGCTAAGGGATGAGAGTTAGGAGAGGCCTCATCTCTTGCTGAAGATGTAAGAAGGGGGACCGAAGGGAGGAACAAGAGGGAATGTCAGGGACGGTGGGGGAGGGACCAGGCAAGGCTGGGGCCCTGACGGCTGCCTTTTTTTACTTCTTCCTCAGCCCAAGACTTCCATGGCCTCTACTTCCCGCCGCCAACGCCGAGAGCGTCGCTTCCGTCGTTATTTGTCTGCAGGACGGCTGGTCCGGGCCCAGGCCCTCCTCCAGCGACACCCAGGCCTTGATGTAGACGCTGGGCAACCCCCACCACTGCACCGGGCCTGTGCCCGCCACGATGCCCCCGCCCTGTGCCTGCTGCTTCGGCTTGGGGCTGACCCTGCCCACCAGGACCGCCACGGGGACACGGCGCTGCACGCTGCTGCCCGCCAGGGCCCTGATGGTGAGTTTCCCTGGTGGGGAACAAGGTCATGAGCCACTAACTGACCGGGAATGAGATGAAAGCCAACAATTGAAAGATAAGCTAGTTATGCCTGGGAAGGTAATTAGTTGACCATGTTGGCATGTGGCAATCATTTGTGACTTTACTGAGTTACCATTATCTGAAGAACCCAACATTCTCAAAACAGCAACTTCAAATTTCACATCTTTCTAGATTAGTAGCTACTTTGTCTCTTGACTGGTTGCCTGCTGTGCAAAAAGTAAGATAGAGGGTAGGTTCTGCAATTCCGTTGCCTGGGTTCGAATCCCAGCACCACACTTAGCAGCTGTGTATTCTAGGGCAACTTACTAAACTTCCTGAGGCTTAGTTTGTCCTCATGCAAAATTAAATAACAACAACCTTTTGCTGTGTCCCGGCACTTCTCACAAATCAGCATTTAATCCTCACAACAATAAGTACTGATATTACCCCTATTTCTCAAGATGAGGAAACAGCACAGAGAAGTTAAGTAACTTGCCAAAGTCACCCAGCTACAAAGTGGTAGAGCAGGGATTAGAACCCAGGCAGTCTAGCTAGACCATCTGCACTCTTTTTTTTTTTTTTTTTTTAAGATTTTATTTATTTATTCGACAGAGAGAGAGACAGCGAGAGAGGGAACACAAGCAGGGGCAGTGGGAGAGAGAGAAGCAGGCTTCCCGCAGAGCAGGGAGCCCGATGCGGGGCTCGATCCCAGGACCCCGGGATCATGACCTGAGCCGAAGGCAGATGCTTAACGACTGTGCCACCCAGGCGCCCCTAGACGCTGTACTCCTAACGACTGTGTTATCCTACGTGGTACATTATAGAATTATACAATGATGCGCCCATGTTCAAAGCACCCATGCTGTCACGTATATTTTGAGAATCAACTGACACAATACGTAATTAGAGCACCTGGCATGTGATTAGCACACAGTAGATGTTGGCCAGTAGTGTTTCTATTATGAACAGATCCATACTTCCTTACCTTCAGCTCTGCAACTCAAAAACACTAAGAGTCAAACATTTTTCACCAGACTTGTTTGGTGAGAAAACCTAACCTGAGCTAAAGCAGGACTATATGTGAGTTGTTTTTATTCTACTGATGTCAATGTTTGTACATTTCTCTGCAGAAATATTCATGTGTTTGGTCACTGGAGCTGCCCAGGCCCTCCCCGGCTACTTAATATACAGTGGATGTACTTTCAGATCAGCCCTACCAAATCCTAAAAACATCTGAGTTCTGAAAAACCTTTGACACTGAAGGTTTCAGATGGGGACCTATGGACAGTGGAAGCAGCTCTGTAGAGATAATAGCCCTTAGGAAAATAAAACCCTCTAGTGATTCTCCCCTGCTAGAGATTTTCCTTCTAGAGTAAGAACATTAGAGGAAAATCCCAGGGTTGGGTTGAACAACCTTAACTCAGTTTGACTGCTGCTATCACCATCTTCCAGCTCCCCAACAGAAACCCCTCTCACCCCACAAACTTCCCCCATATAGGAGAAAAAAAATCCCCTTTTCTTTAATTCCTCTTAATATAGTGAGATAGGCTGGCATATTCAGATTTAAAAAAAAAAAAACTTAAAAAGAGGAGGTTTGCAATATGTAGGCATCCAATTTGACAGCTGACATTACACATGGCAAGAAAACAGAGAACCCTGTGTCAGATCTCAGACCTCCTCCAAGTTCAAATTCTACCACCTACAGGCTGTGTACCAGGGACATGCAACTTAACTTCCATGAGCCTAATTTGCCTCTCTTTTTTTTTTTTTTTAAAGATTTTATTTATTTATTTGACAGAGAGACACAGCGAGAGAGGGAACACAAGCAGGGGGAGTGGGAGAGGGAGAAGCAGGCTTCCCGCCGAGCTGGGAGCCCGATGCGGGGCTTGATCCTAGGACCCTGGGATCATGACCTGAGCCGAAGGCATGCTTAACGACTGAGCCACCCAGGCGCCCCTGCCTCTCTTTTTTTAATTATTATTTTTTATTTTTTAACTCGCCTCTCTAAAATGGAAGTTGTGACAAGTAAATGAGGCAAGCACTTGGTATAGGTTTGGCACCCATCAGATGAAAAGTATTGTTATTTTTATTCTTATATTACCCAATTATGGCTTTTTGAGTAATAAAAATCTCTCGCATAGGACCTTCCTTTATTATATTGACATCTAAGAAGCATATGAGATCGATACTGTTATCCTATTACAGATGAGGAAATTAGGGTCCAGAAGGTTCAGGAAGTTCCTGAAATCACCTAGCCAACAGGTTGTTGTCTTCCTAAGGGGGACCTGCCCTCGCGTCCCTCCCAAGCCCTGTTATACATCCTCTCAGGCCTTACTTCCTCCTGTTCCCCTGACAGCCCTGCCACCAGGTGGCCGTCTGGCTCTTCGGTCGAATGGCCCATCTCATTCAGCTTTGAGCTGCTTTAGAGACCATTAGGTCTTTTTTTTTTTTTTTTAAGATTTTATTTATTTATTTGAGAGAGAGAATGAGAGATAGCACGAGAGGGAAGAGGGTCAGAGGGAGAAGCAGACTCCCTGCTGAGCAGGGAGCCCGATGTGGGACTCAATCCCGGGACTCCAGGAACATGACCTGAGCTGAAGGCAGTCGCTTAACCAACTGAGCCACCCAAGCGCCCCGAGACCATTAGGTCTTAAAATGCAAATATGTTCTTTGAACAGATGAAATGACCCAGGATCCCCTAAGGAAGGGGAGGTGTTCCCCCATTCCCAAGTTAGGTGCGAGGGGTGAGGCAGTTCATGCTGGATTGACTGGGCTATGTGGTCACTACCAATGAGATGCCAATGAATGGCTTTTGGTAACTTCCTTTTGGGACCCATCCCCTCATGGGGAAGTGGTCTTAGCTGTCAAAGGTGTGTCATGAACATCCCTTAGTCAGACGATAACCATTCTCTACACACAACAAGAATTAGTGAACACTAAGAAACAACAGATCATTTTCTCACAGTCTTTACAAAAAGAAAAAAGTCCAAACCCAGCCCGGTATTTTTTTTGTTTTGTTTTCTTATGTAACATT